TTTTTTTTATTTTTCATGTTAGTTTTTATTTACTTTTAGTCACTTATTTTTATTTTTATTTTTATTTTTTAAAGTCATTTTAGCATAGAATTCATCGGAAAAAAAAAAGAAAAAAGAAAATCAATCACAAAAATATGCTTTAGTTATTTTAGATTCAAGTTCATTGTTATTTAATTAAAAAAAAAGGAAAATCAATACACAAAAAAAAGTTTAGCATTTCATTTTTTATCTTTTTATGCTTAGTTTTGCTCATTTTATTCGAGTTTACTTAAGTTGTTATGTTTCTTTATATTTTGTTTATTATTAATTAACTGAAAAAAGAAAAAAGAAAAAAAAAAGCTGTTTCATGCAAGAATCCAATCGGATGGCCAAGTGAGAAGGGTTGAGCTGAGGCTTGCTTGTGACCATTGAAATGAGGGTTTAGGGTCTTCCACTTGATATAAAAAGGCTGTGGAAAAGAAACGCAGCCAAGGGGGCAAAAGTGAACAGCAGCTGGAAAAAATTAAGAAAGCGAAGAGAGAGCTGGGGGATAATCTGTCGGTTGAGGAAGGAAAGAGGGAAAACCAAGGGGGCAAGAGAGAGCTACGGAGGTGGACTGGAGGAACGGGAAAAGAAAAGGAAGGTGGCGGGCTGGAGAGTAAGGGAACTAAGCGAGGGGGAGTGAGTGTGTGACGGAAGAAAGGAAAACCAGCAAAGAAAAGTGAGCTAAGAGTGAGAACGGACGGCTAATGAATCAAGAGAGTTGACGGCTAGGGTATGAACAAAAAACCCAGAGAGGAGAGTAGAGGACGGAAAAGAAAAGATAGGAGAGAAAGCTTGAGAGGGCTAGAAAGAAAAAGGGGAGAAAAAACTGTGGGTGCCGGAGCCATCTCAGAGGATATGAGTGAGGGTGATTGTTGCGGTGGTGCGAAGCCGTGGCTGTTCGTAGAAAGCAATCTGGTGCTGCTCATCGAGGATCAGGAGGACAAGGAGCCGCAATCACCTCAGTCCATCATTACCTGCGAATCCTCACCGAGAGAGAGAGAGCTGTAAGCTGTCTTTTTCCTTCTCCTTTTTTTTAAGCACAGAATTCTTAAGCTCTAGAAGCACGCCTTCCATAAATTGATTCTTTGGTTTGTCTAACAAGTATCTGAAACGGTAGAGTCGATCCAATGGGCATGATATGTGATCTGCGTAGTTGGTGAATTAAAGGCTGAACTTTTCATTTTTGCTTGTGTGATTTGCGTCTAAGAACTCTTAGGAATGTAAAGAGCAGAACTTGGTTTTGTGCAATGTTGTCATTTTGGCTTGTAGGTTTTATGTTTGCTAGGATTTTGGTTTCCTTTGTTTGGCACATGAAATCTGGAAATCAGTGGGAGTTTATGACTGTTACTTGTTTTTTTTTCGGGTGGGCTAAATCTGATAGCTTGACGATGAGTTTAGGAGGATTAACAAGAATTTGAAGCTGTCTTTTGTGTGTTAACATTACACCTTCATGATGAGTTCAGGGTTTGGTTCAAGATTGGGTTCAAGAATTTGAATGTTGTAGCTTAACGTTTTCAAACAAAGTAATAAGGCTTTTTGCTGCATTTTGGTTGTTGTTCTTGCTTTCTTGGACCTGGAACACTTTCGCTTGAGATAGTTAAGGGAAGATAACCATGCTTAAGCATTGATCAATGGGTGAGTGAATATGTGTGTGAGTTTGGTGGATAAATGGGGAGTTTAATTCAATGTTTTTCAGCATTTAACATACGCGAGTTGAAGTTGCGAAATTCACAGCAAAGGAAAAGCTGCTACATTTTTTGTGTGTTGTTTCCTTCCCCGTGGCTGCTCTTTGAACCTTTACACTTGAGTTGCATTTTTAATCTGGTTTGAAGGGAAAGGAATGGAAGGTTTTGGTGATGAGTTTGTATGTTTGGAGTCTGCAATACTTGAACTATGATCAAACACCTTGCTGGAAAATGAACAAATCAGATTGCCGAATGCTTGCTGGAATTTTCTCCAGCATTTGTGTGTTTTTCCTTCTATGTTTTGGTTTGTTGGGATGTTGAAATTGTGTGTCACGTTGCTTAGATTAAGTTTTTGAGGGTTTGATTGGAAAAGGTTGATCAAAAATTGTCTGGGACATGAGTTTTGTAAACTAAAATGCAGCAGATTTCTCCTTCGGTTGCAGAAACTTGTTTCATGGCTCTTGCATGGAACTTGCATGCAAAATGGCTTTCAAAAATTGCATTTTACTCCCCTTAGCTTCTGTCTATGCTACAAAGGCCCAATCATGTTCTAATTTCTTGCAATTAGGTCCTAGAGTAATTTCAATTTCAATCATTACTTGACCCCTTCTTTGCTCTTGGACCCTTGAAGTTCCTAAAATGTTTTAATTGGGCTGGAGTGATTGGTTAATATTTGCAATTGGGTCCTTGGTGATTTTTCTATTTTAGAAATTTGATTAATAATTTACTTGCTTGGGAATTATGCATTATGTGATTTCATTTGAGTTGTAATTGGGAGGGATTTGGTGATTTTGTTTATACTTTACTATTTAATTGGTGCGTTGACCCTTTTATTGTTTTGAAGCTAATATTTCCTTCATCTCATTACCATTGCAAGGGAGGTAACCTCTATCTCCTTGATTTTATTTCTCATACGTGCTCCTACGTGTTTTGTGTGGATATTGATGAGAATATAAAGACCAAGGCCCATTCAAGCACATGGGGAATTGGAAGATTCAAGTGAAGACTAGTTGATTGCACAAATGCTTGAGTTTAGTAGGATTATTTGATTTTCCTCGTTGATTTTGGTTATTTCTCGTTTTAAAAAGCCTAGGTAATTAAAATAGTTTAATTGCAGCCCATTTGTTAGTAAGTAAGGCCCAAAATCTTTCTTAAGTATGTAGGGTAGTTTGGTCAACTTTTGGATTAGGGTTAATGCTTGTAAGGGCTATAAATAGCCCCACTTCCTCTTTGTTTGGGATCAGTTTTTGACTATTAAATACAATTAGTGAGTTTTCACTTTCTCTTTGGCAAGAGAGTTTCCTTTGAATACTTGAGAATCTTCTTAAGTTATTCACCTGAACTTATCAATCGAGTATCTCCTTGATTGTGGCGTTCTACTACCTCTAATTTGGTTCGTTAATTCGAGTAGTGACGGGTTGAGATAATATCAAAATTGTTCGTGACTTCTAGGGATTAGTTGGGTCAAATTTCAGCTGCCTAAGCCATGGTGTTTTGGTTGTCTAGATCGGGGGTTCACATCAGTTGGTATCAGAGCTAGTCGACAACCACCAGGTTATATCTTTTTTTTTTTCTCTTCGTTTATTTCGAGTCATATATGTTTATCCCAATCTGTTCGTTTGTTTAGAATAAAAAAAAATTTATTATTGTTCATCGTACTGTTCACCGTTACTGTTCACCGACACTGTTCACCATTACTGTTTATAGTTACTGTTCACCGAATACAAATCTGTCCAGCCTTGTTGTTTGTGTTATCCAACTTGTTTACTTGGTTTTCAAATCTGAATTTTGGCAAAACTTGTTGGAATTTTGTGAATCTTGAAGAGAACTTATAATAATCTTGAGTTTCTTGCATTTTTTATCACAATCTTGAAATTTCTGAAGTTCTTGACAACTTCCTTGAAAGTTCTTGAAAGATCTTGGAGTTCTTGGTAGTTATTATTTGTGGACTTCCTTGTTTTGTGTCGTGGTTGATAGTTGTAGTCAAGAAAAAAAAAACAGAAAACAAAAACGAAAAGAAAAAGAAAGAAAAGAGGAATCGGTTGGCAAGAAAAAAAAAAGGAAAGGAAAGAAAATGGCAACTGAATTGTTTTGAATAGGGGACCAAATCTGATTTGTGCAATCTTTCTTGGAATAGAATTTGGAAGTTACCTAAAGGTTGTTTCAAGAAGGTTACCAAAAGTTGTTTCAAGAAGATTACCAAAAGTTGTTTCAAGAAGGTTACTGAGGATGCTCACCTCGGCCACCCCGCGTGTCCGAGGTGAACTCACCTCGTCCCTCATCGGAGCTCACCCGTGTCTTGTTCACGACCCCTGAGCTCGGCGGGGTCCCTAGTCTACCGTGTAGGTGACCTCGGCACATCCACCTCGGCTGCACGCTGATGATGTCAACCAATCTGACATCCTCCAGAGTCAGTGTGCTTTATCTGGAAAGTACTGAAGGTACTTGATGGCTACTGTGCTTAGTCCCCCCGTCATGCTACCCAGAAGGCTACAGTGTCAGAATCAGATCTCCTGCAGGGGGCCGTAATATCAGGATGCGGGTCCCACCAGCATGAGCCCTCCGATCTGTCCTTTACTCCTACTCTATAAATACCTCTCCAGCACACCTCAAGTAGGAACACTGTTCATTTGCTGATAATATAGCTTTTTCTCGTTCTCATACTAACTTGATCGTCGGAGTGATCCCAGGGGAGAAGCCCCGCTTTCCACTTCGACCGTGCAACCTCACTTCCTCCCACCCGAGGTGAGAAAAGCAGGTTCACCTCATCTCAGAGAGGATTGATTTAGGTCGGCTCACCTATCCGCCGAAAATCACCTCTTCAATTGGCGCCGTCTGTGGGAACGTGAAGACTATTACTAAAATGAGATCCACGCGCTCCAGAGGCGGAAGAGTTCCCTCAACTGGGGCTGGGCAGACCTCAGGAGCCCAGCAAGATCGCATCTCCGAAGAGCAAGGGTCCCAAAGGACCCAGCCCAACAACGAGGACGCCATCGCCAAGATGGCCGAGTTCGTGTCAGATAACCCCAACATTTTTGAGGAGCTAGGAAGGTACCTCAAAAGACAGGGGAAAGAAAAGGCCGAGTCTTCCAAGAGGAGGCCGACGAAGTCCCCTGAGGTACCTTCAGGTGAAGACTCCGATGAGGGCGTCTCTCTCGGAGTACCTCCAGGCGCGCCTCCACCAAGGCGACCTCCAAAATTGCCTCTATCTCCCGGGCGTTTTCCCGGGGACTGCTAGGAAAACGAGCCGAGGACCCACCTCGGCGCCCCGGGGGTCTAGCTTCTGACTACATGAGGGCTCCGCCCTTTACTGATGACATCAATGGGGAGATGGTTCCCCCGAATTTCAAGCTCCCAAACTTGCACACATATGACGGCCGAGGTGACCCCGAGGATCACCTCCGCGCCTTCATCTCCTCATTCCGCCTCTACTGCGTCCCTGACGCCGTGATTTGTCGGGCTTTCCCCATCTTCTTACATGGGACTGCCCGAAAGTGGTTCTGGAGTTTAGAACCGGGGAGCATTTCCTCCCTGGATGAACTGATAGACCGGTTCATCCACCGCTTTGTGTCGTCTCGACCAATAACAAAGACTTCAGCTTACCTCTTGAACCTGCAACAGGGTCAGGGCGAGTCTCTTCGCTCGTATGCCCAAAGGTTCAACGAGGAGAATGTACAGATCCCTGATCAGAACGAGCAGGTAACTATTGCTGCATTCACCAACGGGTTGGTGGCAGGGATCTTCAACACCAAAATCCATCGGGAGTACCCCCATACACTTCGGAAACTTTGGGAAAGAGTGGACCAGGGAATCCGAAGTGAGGATGTAAACCGCATGAAGCGAGAAGTCCAAGCATCTCGTACGGGGCAAGATCCTCGGAGGAGAAAAGACACCGGTCGAGGTGAACCAGGCCAGAGTGGCACTTCAAACCAGTTCCGAGACCGCCGGAGTGTCTTCGACCGGATTGTGAAGGGAAGATCGTCCATCTCGGACGCCGAGCTGACGCCGCTAAATTCCAGCCGATCCCATGTTTTGGCTGTGATGAGACAGAACCACCTCGGCCGAACCCCTCCTGAGATCCCGGGAAGAAGGGATAAGAGGAATTCCAACCTCTACTGTGCCTACCACAGAGATGTGGGGCACGAGACTGAAAACTGTAACGACTTAAAGCGAGAAATTGAAAACCTGATCCGACAAGGATACCTGAAGCAATTCGTCCGCAAGGATGGGGGTTTCAACCGAAGTGCCTCCCACCGGGAGAGCCGAGATCCCCGCCAAGAGGACAGGCGGGATACGAAGCTTCATTGCCGAGGTCCCGAGGAACCTAAGGGGGAACAGAGGCCTCCACGCGACAGATCACCAGGCTACGGCCCAAACATCGCCGGGGTGATCAACACCATCTCGGGTGGCCCCACGGGAGGAGACAGTCAGAACTCCCGGAAACGGACATACCGCCAGGCCGGCATGGAAGCTGCCGAGCCGAACTCCCGGTTATCCGAAGTGATCACCTACGGTCCCAGCGACCCCGTCCCCGCCGCCTCCAGCAATCACGAGTCCCTCGTGATTGAAGTCCTCACTAACAACTACATAGTCAAGAAGGTCTATGTGGACCCCGGAAGCTCGGTAGATGTCCTGTACTACCGAACTTTCGAGAGTTTGAAACTGACCGGGAGCAACTCACTCCGGTCAGAACTCCTCTTGTCGGCTTCGGGGGACACGTCGTCCACCCGGAGGGGATGGTGACCTTGATGGTGACTATTGGGAGCCATCCCCGCTGCCGAACTGTGCCTGTTAGCTTTGCGGTGGTCAAAGCGGACTCTCCTTACAACATGCTGATAGGCCGACCAACACTCAACGCCTTGAGAGCTGTGTACTCTACCTACCATCTGAGTTTCAAATTTCCAACGCCCGATGGGGTGGCCGAGGTGAGCAGCGATGTGGGAACCGCCCGGGAGTGCTACCTCGCCACCATTCAAGCAGCAGTCACACCCCGGCCCTCGCCGAGGTCAGAAGAAAAGAGGCCAGCGGTCCTCTCCATAGACTGCATCGACCCTCAGAAGGCTGGACAGCCTAGCAGGCTTGAGCCCGGGGATGAGGTGGAACAAGTGGTCTTGGATGAAGCGAAACCTGACCAAGTAGTCCAAGTAGGGGCCGGACTCCCCTCACCCCTGAAAGAAGAAATGATCTCCCTGATCAAGGACCACCGAGACATCTTCGCGTGGTCCGCAGATAAAGTGGTCGGAGTGCCACCTGAGCTCATGACTCACCAACTCAACGTTAACCCACAGGCCCGACCTGTGCGGCAGAAACGAAGGCACTTCGGCCCCGAACGTAGCAAGGCCATATCGGATGAAGTCGACAAGCTCTTGCCGGCCAAGATTATCCACGAGATCCAATATCCCACCTGGCTGTCCAACCCAGTCATGGTCAAAAAGGACACCGGTGGATGGAGAATGTGTGTAGACTTCACCGACCTCAACAAGGCCTGTCCCAAAGATTGCTACCCTCTGCCGAGGTTAGACGCCCTTGTCGACTCGGCGATGGGATATGAAGTCCTCTGCTTCCTAGATGCCTTCAAAGGGTATCACCAAATAGGAATGAGTGAAGAGGACCAAGAGAAAACGGCGTTCTACACCGACCGAGGTACTTATTGTTACACAACCATGCCCTTTGGGCTAAAGAACGCCGGAGCGACCTACCAAAGGCTGATCAACCGACTCTTCAAGAATCAGATCGGCCGCAATGTGGAGGCCTATGTGGATGACATCCTTGTCAAAAGTCTCGCCACTTCATCCTTCCTATCAGACGTGAGGGAAGTCTTTGGTGTCCTGCGAGACTCGAGGATGAAGCTGAATCCCAAGAAGTGCGTCTTCGGCGTCACCTCGGGAAAATTCTTGGGGTATCTGGTTTCCCACCGGGGAATCGAGGCCAACCCCGACAAAGTCAAGGCCATTCAGGACATGTCCCCACCTCGGAACGTCCGAGAAGTCCAAAGGCTGAATGGACGCCTGGCCGCGCTGAACCGCTTCCTGTCCCAATCCGCTGAGAAAGCTCTGCCCTTCTTTAAAGTGCTGAAAAAGGCTGACCAGTTCGCCTGGACTGAGGAGTGTCAGGCTGCCTTCGACCAGCTGAAGCAGTACCTCCATCACCTACCAACTCTCGCTTCACCTCGGCCCGAGGAGAAGCTCTACCTCTACCTCTCCGCAGCCGACGAGGCTGTCAGCGCCGCTCTTATCCGGGATGAGGGCACCCAAGTGCCAGTCTACTACGTCAGCCGAGCTCTCCGCGGGCCGGAGACTCGATACACTCAGGTGGAAAAACTGGTACTGGGGCTTGTCCACGCAGCTCGGCGGCTGAAGCCCTATTTCTTAGCTCATCCCATCTCCGTCAGGACCGACCAGCCAATTCGGCAAATATTGGTGCGACCCGAAGCTTCTGGTCGCCTCACCAAGTGGGCTGTCGAACTGGGAGAGTATGACTTGTCATATGAGCCCCGCACGGCCATAAAAGCTCAACCTCTGGCAGACTTCCTGGCCGAGCTGACCTTCACGGAAGGTCCAGAGTCCACCTCCGCCAGTGCCGAGGTGTTCACCCCATCCTCGTGGATTTTGTATGTCGATGGGTCCTCTAATGGAGATGGTAGCGGAGCCGGACTGCTCCTGGAAGGACCTCAAGGAGAGGTGTGCTCGTACGCCCTCCGCTTTGGCTTCCCGGCCACCAATAATGAAGCCGAGTACGAGGCTCTGATCGCTGGACTCCAGCTGGCCCGTAGGCTCGGCGCTCAGCAAATCCACGTCCGCAGTGGCTCCCAACTCGTTGTACGCCAAGTACTTGGTGAATACGAAGCCAAGGATGAGACCATGCAACGGTACCTCACCAAAGTTCACCAACTCACCGCGTATTTCGAGTCTTTCGAAATCCAAAGAATACCCCGGTCCCAGAATAAGCGAGCCGACGCCTTATCCCGGCTGGCTTCCACTTCTTTCTCTGACCTCAACAAAACAGTCTTGGTGGAAGTCCTGAGTGAACCAGGATACGTGGAAGAGGTGGCCTGCCCCGTGCACTCCGAAGAAACCTGGATGACCCCGTTCATCCTTTTCTTGGGTCAGGGAGCCCTCCCTGAAGACCGAGCCGAGGCGAGAAAAATACAACGCAAGGCGGCTCGATACGCTCTCTGCGATGGAGAGCTGTACAAACGCTCCTACCTCGGCCCATGGCTGAGGTGTGTCACTCCCGAGACAGGACGCCACGTCCTCCATGAGATCCACGAAGGCTTGTGTGGAGCTCATGTCGACCACAGAATGCTAGCCAAGAAGGCATTGCTTCTTGGATATTTCTGGCCCTCAGTTCGGCAAGACGCCCAGGACCTCGTTCTCGGCTGCCCTTCCTGCCAAGTCCACGCACCCGAGCACCACCAGCCCTCAAACTTCATGATTCCCATCACTTCACCCTGGCCGTTTGAGCAATGGGGGACGGATATCATAGGTCCTTTCCCTAAAGCGGTCGGGGGCTATACCTTCCTGGTGACCGCTGTGGACTACTTCACCAAGTGGGTTGAGGCTGAGCCTCTGAGGACCATCAATGGGCTGGCCATTCAAAAATTCTTTTGGAAATGCATCGTCTGCCGCTTCGGCATACCTCAAGTCATCATCTCGGACAACGGAAGGCAGTTCGCCGAGAACCCCTTCAAGACTTGGTGCACAAACCTTGGTATCAAACAACATTTCACTTCGGTGGGCCACCCCCAGGCCAACGGTCAAGCAGAAAACTTCAACCGAACTCTCCTGCATGGTCTCAAGACCCGACTACACCGAGTTGGGTCATCTTGGGTGGAGGAACTCCCCAGTGTCCTGTGGTCTTATCGGACCACGCCGAGGTCAGCCACGCAAGAGACCCCCTTCTCCTTGACCTACGGCGCCGAGGCCGTCATCCCGGCCGAGATCCTTACCCCCAGCCCTCGGCTAGCTGCCTATGCAGCCGAGGTGAACGACGAAGAGAGACAGCTGGATCTCGACCTCGTCGATGAGCGAAGGGACCTCGCCTCAGCCCGAATAGCTTCCTACAAGAACACACTGGCGCACTATTACAATGCCCGCGTCAGACACCGTAGATTCCAGCCTGGAGACTTGGTTCTTAGGAAAAATTCAGTCAGCCGAGCTGAGCCACAAGGCAAATTGTGCCCGAAATGGGAAGGCCCTTACCGGGTTGTCGAGTCTAATCTTAAGGGATATTGTAAACTAAGCTACCGAGATGGCTCACTAGTGCCGAGGTCTTGGCACGCCGAGAACCTTAGATTGTATTATACTTGAAGTTATGACTTCGTTCAGTTATTTCATCAAAGTTGACTTCATCCAGTTATCTTGTCAAGTTATGACTTCAGCTATTTAGTTATTTTTCAACAATATGATGCCCGGCATCCGTTATTAAAAAATAAGGGGGACAAACAAGGGACGAAGCAAGAAATTCAAAGAGCCGAGATGAGAAGAAGTAGATATTCCATTCAATAAAAAGGTATTACAAAGAATACAAGACCGAGGTCGGAGTCCTACTAAGCACTCCTCACCTCGGCCACCTCCCAAATGACTAAGAGCCTAGACCCCCGTCCCGGCTCCCTTCCCCGCCTCGGCCCCATCCTGGGCAGCCTTCTCTCCGGCCTTTTCTCCACCAGGGTGAACATCTTCTCCCCCGCCGGGGTGAATCCCATCTCCCCCATGCTCTTCACCGATGTCCCCTCCGGCTTCGTCTCCCCCAACTTCTTCTCCTTCACCCTCCTCGAACACTTCGTCGAGTTCGGACAGCCACTTGTTGAACTCATCCTGGACTTCGGCCAAGTTCCTTCCTGCCTGGATGCCTTCGGCCATCCGATCGCATAGCTCCTTGGAGTCCTCGTTATAGCTGGCATGGTTTTTCAGAGACTCCAAGACTTCGGAGGGGAGGTGAGCCGCAGCCTCGTCTATGGCTGAGGTGAAGCCAAACATGAAGTTCGGTGTGAGTAGCTGGCCAAAATCCTTGATGAAGGCCTCGGACCTCCGAAATGCGTCCACTGCCGAGGCCCCAGCACTGTTGAGGGCTTGCTCATGGGACTTTTTCAGTTCGTCCCCTCTCTTCTGCTCTTCCTCGAGGGCCGATCTGAGGCTGTTCATAGTAGCCACGGCCTCCTCATCCTTCACCTCGGCCTCCTTGAGCCGTCTTTCAAGCTCGGCCTTCTCAGACTCGGACACCGCCAGTTTTTTCTCCAACTTGGAGATCTGATTCTGCAACTTTCCGGTGTCCTGCTCCTCGACCAGAGCACAGTACCGGTGTGTCATCTCGGCCACAAAGGCCGAGGTGGAAGCTGTGGACACCATGAGGCTTTGGACCATCTCAGCCGGGGACAGCTTCTTCATAAACTCCAAATCCCTTGGCAAGGGGGAGTGCATTACTAGCTCTTGGGCAACCTGAGGATGTAGGCACCTGTCGTTGACCGAAATTTTCCAGTTCGGACACCAATGCTCGCCGGGGTGCGTCTTCTCTTCCCCGGGAAACACTGGGGGGCTATGGAAACGATTCCATAGCGAGGTCCCCGAGACTGCATTTACGGGGGGATTCAGCTGCTTGCCTCGGCCACGAGGAGGCGGAGGTGCCGTAACGACTCCAAGAGGCACTCCCTCTGGCACAGACGAGGTGGACCCAGTAGCCGCGGTGGCCGAGCTGCTCTGGCCAACCTTGGTGGGAGTGCTTTTAGCCACCGAGGTCTTGACGGC